CAGACTATTGAAAAACATAGTTCTTTAAGCGAAAAGCTGTTGAAGAATTGCGAAAAAAAACTCTTTTTGAAAACTTTTTGTAGGAGATTTTTCTCTAAAGTCGATAAAACAGTTGTTAATCAATGTCCTCCTATCAACGTTGTCGAAGGTAGGATGGAGGTGATCCACAATTTTTACACGTCTATAGTGTATTGATCATAGATTTGCAATCTTCACTTTTGATAAGTATGCTACTGATTATTTAAATACATCTCGAAACTCACCAAAAGAATGCTAGCTTGTTTATACTGATATATCTTTCTGTTTCGTTTTGACCTTCTTCTAACTGCTACTACGTAATAACCGGGCAATCAATAGTTAGTTTCTAGATCATCTTTCTTCATCAAAGGGATGAAATCAAAGTTGAAATAAAATGACCTCAATCTTTGTCTAGCTCCCTAATCGGCGCCTTCAAACATATAAAGTGATCGGTATTAACTCAACATTATCCGATGCTCAATCTCGTTCGAATTACATTCTTGTGTTTGCTCGTCTCCGTACCCTCGCTCCTGCCTCTTTTCATGGAATAATGACGCACGAAATTGGTCACGGCGAACTTGCCCACATCCCCAAAGGTATGGTTGCCCGAGTGTTCAATGATATGTTCTGGTCTCCAATCGCTCCCCAAATCCCTGGTCTTCAGTCTCGAATAGACGAATCTACTCTACTAACACCAGCACAAAAAACAACGGCTCAAATTCTCCCCCGGCTGGTAACAGCTGCTCTGTCTCGAAGAGACGAACTGAGAGCTGATGAATATGCCATTAAAATGGGAGTATCTAAACTGGGAAACCCATGCGGAATGATCGATGCTATTCGAACATTCACAAAAGGCCAAGACTCTTTGCCGTTTGCCAGTCATCCAAACCTGAAAGATAGATTAGACGCTGCACTCAAAGTCGGTTCGAACGAAGGTGCAGGGCCATGCTCAGCAACTGGTATGGTCATGGGACATATGCCTACAGTTATCGTTGTCATTATCGATCTTTACAAAGCTTTTAGAAAAGATTACAATTAATCAAAATATCATTTGAGGATGTGCAGTGTAGATGAAGATTAAACGAAAGTTGACATACATCCACATCTACACTGCATACCCACAATCACAACCATACCTGCACCATAATTCTTCATAATTTCTGCCTTATTTTTTATATTTTTCATTGGCAACATCAAATAAAATTTCTTTTGCATAAATGAATAAAAAAAGTAAGAGAAGAATTCAATCGATTTCTTGAAATGAATATGAATTGCATTTTCTGCTACTAGACGGTGGGTGTAGGTGTGGGTGTGACTATGACAGTGACTGTGACAGTGACAGTGGCAGTGACTGTTAGTCTTCTCATGACTAACAGTCACACCCATACCCACACTCCTGTTTCAGGTGCTTATTCTTTAAATAGTTTTCTGTGCTAATACTGAGTAAATGCACGGGAATAGGGCGAAATTTTGCAGTGTACTGGTACTCATCGCAAGATCTGATCAATTCACCGTAGCCATTCCCCAGTGCATTAAAGGTTACCATTTATTGTAACTAACCAACATTTTTTCTTTGTAGATCAACGACATGGATAATGAAATTAACGGAATTATTCGATAATCACTTAGTCATTTCTCATTTGCTGGTATATACCTTGATAAAGCTCAATGAGTTTGTCATCAATATATGGTTCTTATTTCGATAAAACTACTATTCATCTGAAAGTACAACGTTGATCAGCATAAACTAGTCGTTTTTATACACGTATTATACGAAGTACTCTGTAATTTTTCGATAGAATACAGGCAAATGATGGCATCTACAAATTCTGAAAAGATATATTTATCGATTTGAGTGTTCATGTCTTCATATTAAAATCTCTGAAAATCGTTTAATTGATGGAATTATCTAACTTGAAGGGCATCAACTGACAGCTTAACAAGCTTGTCAATATTATTACATTCATTTCAAGTTTTCATTTCGACGTACATCAAAATGCTAATCTCAAGTTCCATAGAATAACATAGTTGAAATTCGAAACTATCAAAAAAAGAAGTGAATCCACAGTGAAAAGAGAATCACACTTAATGAAGTGTCTTTACAGTTGACTGTAGATGCTTAAATGATTTATAAATAATTTACATGTTCTTTGTAAACAAAGAGAAAAAAATACACATAATAATGATGATAATCATAAATAAATGTATTGAATAGAAAAAGTCATTTGCTTCTTGTGTGGTTTCTGGAAGACTGCAAAAAGAATGAAAGAAATGAAAAAGGAAACTATAATAAAAATGATAAATTAATTGAAAAAGTTAGATACACGATAGAAAGATATTTATACAATTGATGTAAAATGGATGACCGACTTGTACATATTTTGTAAAAAAATTACAGTGACAATGATATTGATTCATAATAATTACAGTTGTTTCTACCAGTCATGTAGCGAATACAATGGCAAGAGAAAAAAAGCAGAAGAAAAAAAATATGAGTGAAGATCACAGCCATGGTACAGTTGTGTTCCAAAAATACAAATGGCCATAAGTCGAGTTATACTCAACCGATTGTAATATTTTTTTTTCTGGTTTTAGTGGTTTGAAGATGGTAATTCATTTCTGCAAAAATTAACCGTTCATCTGCTTTAATTAGTGAGACATCAAAGCACTAGGACATGTACATAGTTTATAGGGTCACTTGCCGGAAGTCAACCAATACCTTACTCTCCATTCCTATATTTTGTAGATTTTCAAGCTGGACTTGTAGAACTTTCCAAGATCTTTCAGAATATATCTTTTGTTTCAGCTTTCGACAAAGCTTTATGAATGAAAAACTATGGATAATAGGCGTTAAAACATTTAGTATGTTTGCGTAAACCAACATTGAAATCGATGGCATTCCAATTGAAGAAAAATCATATGAATTATTTTCATTGAATATCAAAGAGAACTGAAGGAAAAATAATCTGAAAAATAAAAAAGCTCAATTAAAACTGAACTGTTTGTCAGAAAAATTTGATCTTTTTACGTAGCCTATAAAGTAGAGTAATATCCCAAATCATCAAGCAAAAATCTTTCTCCTTTCTAGAAAAAAGTTAGTTTTACTAGCAAAATATAGGGCGGCGTTGGCTGAAGTATTCACATATTAAGACTGATTGATATAGAAGCATATCATACAGAAATCGGCTCCTACACAGCAGTCTTAGGAAAATATTATTTTCATACACAATCAACGTTGCTTTATAAAATGCAACACTATACAGGAGCATATATGAGAAAGAATAAGCAAGGTATAAAAAAATGGATACAGTTGTAGAACAAGTCTATATAGAAAACAGCGAGGCACTCTTTATATAAAAAAGGGAAAAATTTGGTCAGTTAAAATAAACACTTTTTTAAAATTTATTGGAATATCTGAGATGTACAAACATAGGCACTTCTAGATAGCACACTCTGAAAAGATTTGTAGCAAAGTTGAAACGCGTAGCGGCAACTAAATATTTGTATTCACGATCAACAACTTGAAAACGAGTTTCTTCTAGGTAAAAAAAAAGAATGAGCTTTAACTAACAATGTGTACACACGTAGATAGAAATGATTGCATTTGTACAATGAGTGATAGCTATAAAAGAGTTGTACCAACTTATCTGAATGGGAGTCATCATGATCGTATAATGCTTTTCTTGGTATCTCCACTTTGATTACTTTCCACTTCTCGAATTCTTATAACCGAGTGATGATGATGCTCAGAAATGTGTATCGTATGGTTTCTTGCCGACATCAATATAGAAAAAAGCTACTCTATCTAGAGTAAAATAGAAAAGAGAGAGAAAATGATACTGATGACGCACATCAAATGTTTGACAATCTTAGACATAGCATGCTCATTTGACGTTAGTCTGTTACAACCATGAATAACACTGACATGGAGACGTCGGAAGATGATACGTCCTTACTCCGTTCAGTCAAGTTTTGGCTGCTACTTTTGCTACAAATTCCAGCGATCATACTTTCTCTTCTCATCTTTGTCTTTTTTGCCAAGCATGATGCTGCCCGACGTGCTCCACAAAACCGTGCTCTACTGATTCTGCTCGTAGTTAACTTCATTGAGCTATCATCTGTGATGCCATTTTCCCTCCACTTTTTTCGGCTGGGCCACGTCAGTCCAGCTACACCAACTTACTGTACGTGGTGGACCTTCTTTGAGTACACAATAGCCGTAACAAGTGAATATCTTATTGCCACCATTTCTATGCAACGACACATGCTTATTTTTAACGGGCATATTCTAAGAACTCGCTTGATGCGCAATTTGTTGCATTATCTACCACTTCTTTTCTGTCTCACATATCCCATGATATTTTATATATTTGTCATCATCCTATACCCATGCGATGGCACTCAATGGGACTTCACCAGCACTCTCTGTGGTCTTGCCAATTGTTATTTTTTATTTAACCCAGTGCTTGGCACATTCGATTGGATGTTCAATAACGGTATGCCTATGGTTATAGACGTATTAGCCAATGCGATCCTTATCGCACGGGTAGTTAGACAGAAACGTCACCATCAACCGTTGGTGACGTGGCGGCGCCAGCGACGCATGACATTGCAATTATTTTTCATCTCAAGTCTTTACATTGTCTCCTGGACGCCATGTCTCTTAGTAGGAACCGTACAGATACTCGGATATCCGGACTTTCTGGCTCAGATTCAAATAAACTATTTTATTGGCCTCGTCTATTTCGTATGCCTTGTTCTTCCATGGGTATATCTCGGTCTTGTTCCTGAGCTTACTAAATGGATTAGAAAGTTGTGTC